TGAGTAGGAATGAATCTGGATTGCTCACCATATGAGCTCTTATGTCCAACACAATTCCTAATATTTAAATAAATGGGACTATTATTTCCCCAGTAGGCCATGTCCAGATACACACCATTCCCTCTACTCTCTGCCACCACACCTATTCTTTCAGACCCTTACTCATCTCTCAGCTTAAATATCACTTCCTTGAATACCCCTCCCTACTCCATTTTATCTTGTATTTGGCACTAGCTGCACTGCCACCATAGCAATCATCTCATTGCTAGACTTGGGGAGTTGTAGTAAGAAGCCTGCAGGGGGTGTTTTTACTGTGTATTTATGTATACTTCTTTAGGAAGCCTTGAAGAAAAGAAAACTTTTCACTTTTGTGTCCGAAGTATTTAACAAAACATCAGGCACAGTTCTACTACCTATTTTGATAGTAAGGGCTAACATTTTTTACATGTGTAATACATTCTTACATTTCTTAAGTTAGATAGTAGCAGAACAAATGAATGAACAGATAAAATTTCTTGGGATACCAACTTCAAAGAGTTCCATACTTTGACAGAGACAGAAGTATACAGGCTAATGAAGAATAAACACCACCACAAGGCCAGTTTGGTTGCCCTGTCCTGTCCCTACATCTTCATCTTACAGTATGCCTTCCTCTAAATCCATAAACGTCAAGTCTCTTCAAACTCACTTAGAATACTTCCTTCTATTACTTACAACCCACTTCCTGTACTTGGTGCCTGGAAGCAATTTCTAGGATGTCACCACAAACAATATTAAACTGCCACAGTTTCCTGCTGTGTGTCTGCATTATCAGTTAAATTGCTTCATATTAACCACATTCCAATCCACCAGGATCACTCAAACACTAATAAGATTTAAACATACCTGTCAAAGGTTGTCACTTATCACTGCTCCTTTCATCCCTCTAGAAAAATGTCTGCTCCAGCTTAAGGTCTAGGTTCCCAAGGTACTATCTACTTATGAGTGACCTTCTTGTTCCTTTGTTAATTGCATGTTTGGTTTGAGGCAAGGTAATGTTCCTTTATTAAAATGAATATAGAATAGCCAGGCACCGGTGGTTCATGCCTGTGATCCTAGCTACTCAGAAGGCTGAGATCTGAGGATCACATTCAAAGCCAGCCTGGGCAGGAAAGTTCGTGAGACTCTTATCTCCAATAGCTGAAGAGTGCAGGGACAGCGCCCAAGCCCAGAGTTCAAGCCCCACAACCAACAAATAAAAGCATATAAACTAATTTTTTTTAGTGAAAATAAGGGAAAGTCTGCCTAAAGCAGGAAAATATGGCTTAAACTTAAATACAAAAACTCTTTTTCAGAGTTTTAATAGAAGCAGGGCACCAGTAGTTCACATCTGTAATTCTAGCTACTCAGGAGGGTGAAATCTGAGGGTCGAGGTTCAAAGCCAGCTCTGACAGGAAAGTCCATAAGATTCTCATTTCCAATTAACCACCAGAAAATTGGAGTGGTGCTATGGCTCAAAGTAGTAGCCTTGAGCAAAAAGGGCTCAGGGATAGTGCCCAGGTAGACTCAAGCCCCACGACCAACACAAATAAATAAAGTTTTCATAGATAACCGGTCTTGTAATACTATGCACATTAAAATCAAAGAACTCAGTCTTAGAGTTGAAAACTTATTTCCAATCCTAACAATCATACACCAGTCACTGAGTTTGAGATACAAACTCAATGCCCACTATGACCACTGTCATAGTGCCCAACATTAGGGACCACAGAAATGCCAATGAGGAACACCTGGCCTAGGCTGGGGGTACAGATGGGTGCCAGGGTAATGGGGACCTGGCATCAAGACAGGATTCCTGACCTTAGGCTTACAAACTCACAGCATCTGACAGTATCTTAACTTAGGCTTATAGAGTCTCATTCTCCCATTTGAAAAAAATGTGGTTAAGAGCACCATGGGACAGTTGTGAGGGTTTGATGAACTAGTTCATGTAAAGCATTACCATAGTGCCTAACAGAGATTGTATGAAATCAGCCTTAGCTTCAAAGTCTGATCAAGTAAAAAAAAAAATCTCACCACCTATTCCTAGAAACACACATGCTTTTCCACTGGTCATATACACCAAAGACACCAGCTTCACAATTACACACAATATTGTTTTAATGAATGTTTATTTTTAATAATAATGTTAAGTCCTGCTCTTTAACAGTTTTAATTCCTTGATCATTAAGCTTTATCCTCCATTAAGTGAAACATCCATTTCTCTGATATTTCTAGCAACAATATACCAGATGCTCTTAGTCTTTTGATAAGAAGGTATAAAAGCAAACAATTGCTTCATTTCTAATATGATCTGGGATTCATGTTGCTACTGTCTTTACTACTCATAATAATCCTGCAACCTAGATAAAGCAGACAGCCCCCCCAATCCCCTGAGGGAGACCCAAACTGACAGATGTAGCCTGCACAATTTTTATAGTTAGCATGAGAAAGAGCTGGAATTTGAACCCAAATCTGATTCAACATGTCCCAGTAATGCCACATGGCATCCAAGATAAGCAAGAGAAAATGGACAGTGCTCTACTGCTTGGATAGCAGTGAACTATCTGGCTTCCACCCCTGCTTCATCCTCCATACATATCTTGCACACATACATACATCTTACATACATCGTGCACATATATCTTCTACCTCAACCAGGTATACATCTTCAGCTAATGTCTGTTTTGTCCTACCAGAATGGAATTTCCAGTAGTTGCCAAAGCTCAGTTTTCTCTAATGAAGCAGGGTGGGCCTAAGTAATTTCCTTACCAACTGTCCATCCCTATTGCTAACTACAGGCAAATGTTACATAATCAACAGTCACTATAAATCACTACTACTTTTCATACCTTCTCCTTTCATATTTTTTCAGCTTCACAAGCTAACATATTTCTCAAGCCTAAGTTTCTACCACAGAGTGGTCTACTTATAAGATCAGTAAGGCCATTCTTCATACTAGTTTCATGCTTACTACAATTTCATGCTGGAGAAAATTCCCTCACCCAGGGGGCTGAGCAGGTGACTCAGTGGTAGAGCGCTTGCCTTGTATGCCTGAGGCCCTGGGTTCAATTCCTCAACACCACATAAGAAAAAAGAAAAAAGCCAGAAGTAGTGTTATGGTTCAAGTGATAGAGTGCTAGCCTTGAGCTGAAGAGCTGAGGGACAGCGCCCAGGCCCAGAGTTCCGGCCCCATGACCGGACCCAAAAAAAAAAGAAAAAGAAAAAGAAAATTCCTTCACCCAAGGGCTCAGATACTACTGTGATAGGTTCTACAAACCATACTTGAAAAGTGTATTTGTCAATCTGCTACCGTGGAAAGCAAGAGAGGAAATCTGACAGCTAGTCACCAACTTCTGCTTTCTGGTAGAATTTTAATGCTGATCTGTTATAATACTAGCTGCTTCCCATCAGGCAAGTTCCTGAACTTTTCAGTTAAGATGCGTATCCTCACACTTTCTCTATGACTAGCTTTTGGGAAGTATTTCCAAGTTTCCAAGTTTACAGCTCTTACTTGGAAGCAGGACTTAAACTTGGGAATGTTACAAACCGTAACTTTTACCTTGCTATCACATCACATTCTTGTGTGGAATAAGCTTCTAACTCCCCTCCCCCACCTCATTTTCACAAGAACACAGCTTATTAACATTTGCATATTCATTTCCATAAGCAAAGTTTCCTAATTTCATTTAGCAGATGTCTTAGGGCAACACATATTACACATTTTGTAAATGAGAAGGTTAACCACTCAGGGGAATGCAAGGCTGGGCAAGGGTCACACTACATGGCATTACCTGAACACAAGATGCAATGTTTGAATAATTATTAGATTTTGACCTTGAGGCACTTCTCTTTTTAAACTTCCCTAGTACAATTCTCAGAATGCTGAAATAAACACATTCCACAGTCTTTCCTATAAGAAGGTTTAAAGTATCCTGGGAAAGCTGTTTTATCGAAAGCCTCTGCAGCATCAACTCTGTTTTTAAATGCCCTAAAATAATTTCATTACTCACAGAGAAAAAGTGAACATTTGTTAGAGATCAGAGATAAAGAATCTCAAGATCTGGGGCTAAGGAAGGGAGAGGTCAGTAGAAAACTTGGCTGAGAAGGGAGATTAGAGTCCAAAGCAACACACCCAAGTTGGCCACACAAAAGTTGCACTTTCCAAAGTCAACTTCTCAGCCCCGAAGGAGGGCAACAATGTTTCACTAAGTTCTGAAGTTACAAGTGCCAACGATTGCTCTCCCCCCCCCCCCACACACACACACAGAAAACTAAGTCCCCACCCGGGATTGAAAAAGAATGAATGAAGGATTACAAAGCCACCAAAGACTTATCAAAATCAGGTGCTCAGTTACCACACAAGAGGTATCTTCCTTCAGAGTCTTTGGCCCAGTCTGTGTGGAGACTCTCAGATAAGAGGGGGAAAGAGGAGGAGAGAGAAGGCAGGGCCTCTCCTCAGGCCATCCAGCCTCCCGCCCTCACCTCTCCCCCCCCCCCCCCCCCCCCCGGCCCTCCACGTCCTCCTCTCCGCCAGAGCCCCATACCACTTCTGCTTCGGCCACAGGCCTCAAACAGCCAGGCTGCAACCTCTCAAGACCTACCAAACCCCGCGGGGTGGGGGGTGGGAGGGAGGAAAGAGGCGACCCAAACACACCCATCAGAGGACTTGCTTCCGGAGGTTTCCCACTCCCCCTCTCAACAGTTGCCTGACCATTTTCTGGGGCTCTCGGTCAACCTGAGGTGGGGGCGTCAAGTAACCTCAGCTAATCCCGCCCTCAGGTGAGGAGGGGACACCTGACCACCCGCGCCCCTCCACCTCGCGCGCTCCGCGCCTCCCCGCATTGCCATGGCAACCGTCCCCCTCCCCGCGTGACGCCGGCACGCGGGGCGCCCCTCTGGTCCCAGCAACAAGTCCCCCGCGCGGCCCGCGGCCTGCAGCCCTGGCCCGGCCTCGCCTCCCCGCGCTCAGCCGCACTCACTTGATCCTGGAGCCCATGGTCCCCGGGCCTCCTCATGGGCCCGCGGGCCCCGCTTGGCGCTGCGCTGCCCGCCCTCCCGCGGCCGACCGGCCTCCCTCCGGCGCTCTCCCCGCCCCTTCCTCCCTTCCCTCAGGCTGGGGCCCGCCCGCTCGAGGCTCGCTCCCTCGCCGCCGCTGCCGCCGCCGCCGCCGCCGCCGCCGCCACCGCCGCCTCCCGGGGTTAATGTGCTCGCTCCGGCCGGGCGAACGCCATGGTCGGCGGCGCGCGTACCCAGCGCGCGCCGCCCCCTCCGCCTCTCACACCACCGCCCCCTCCCGCCCGCGCCACCGTGTGCAGGGGCTGCTGGGAAGTGTAGTCCGCTCTCGTGGGGCGGGGGCGGGGACCGCGCGTCCGTCAGCTAGCCGGCCGCAGCTCGGGGGCGGGGCCGGGGCGGGGCCGGGGCGGGGCCGGGGACCACGCTTCTCACCCGCTTGCTGCCCTCAGCTCGCTTCTTGAAACTCGCGCCTGCCAGAACTTGGGTTTCTCCGCGCCCCGCCCCCCCCCCCCCCCGACCTCTGTGCTATCCCCATTCTATCATGAAGACTCCCGAGGCCAGGTAAGAAGCCTTCAGCCATGCCTCTCCTGGGGAGACCTCCCATCTAGGAGCTCTAGTACCCAGGCCTCAAAAGGAAACATCATTTTTCCCTTAAATTTCCGGTAAGTTCCTCAAAAGCCCTCCTCTGTGGCACCCCGCGCTGCACTCCGTGATCCTGGACAAAGGCCCCTTCCTCACTTCTCAAACCTCACTTGCAGGGAGGCCACTTTGGGGACGTCGTCAGAGGAGGCTCACTTCCGCCTTATTCTTGAGGACCTCTGCTCCCGGTCTCAGTCGGAAGCTTCACGTGACCACAACAAATGAACACAAATGAAAGTATTGAGGGCCAGAATGACCAACCTGCTACCTGTCTTTGGGGCTTAATCCCGTGAACCGGCCCCCCCCCCCAAACTTAATTCCCTCCTGGCCTAGAGAGGGCACAAAGCAACAGTGAGAAGAGTGTGTCCTTTCTGAATCAAACACAATATTCACCGTGCCCGCTTCATGGCCACCCTCACAATGCTCAACTTTGAGTTGATCCTCCTATTTTACGGAGGGAACAGACATATCTCCAAGGTGACACGAACATCAACTACTGACACCAAGATTAACAGCCAAGTTGAGTAATACCAGACACATGTGACAGAAACCTTTGGCCCAGAGCCAGAAGACACCACAAACTCATGAAGTCACTTTAAAGACTAGGCGCCCTCTCCCCCCTCCTCTCCCTCTCCCCCCCACCTCTCTCTCTCTCTCTCTCTCTCGTTTTTTTCCCTCTCTTTCTCTCTCCCTCCCTTTTCCTCTCCCTCCAGTTTTCTGAAATGTCATTCATCCCTTTTGCCATTTTAAGTCTTCTAAATTCTGGGAGTGTCTCCTCATCTTACACTCATCCCATACTTAGTACAATAACTCATCCTAAAGCCCCAGCCAGACAAGGAGCAAAGAAAACAAGAAGGTAAATTAAGTAGAAAACTCTCCTTATTTTAGAACTTCTGGAAAAAGACAATTTCTTTTGCCTTTACCTGAAGATGTTGGAAGCAAAGGATGAACTTTTTAAATTTTAAATTTAAGAAGTAAAAATGTCCAGACTGACACTTTGAATTCAAAGTCTTTGCACCCAGACATCAACACCCAACTTATAAATACCTCCTGGAGCAAAATTCTGCTAGACAAGGCAGGGTCTCTATGGTGTTTATGCACCTTGGTTCCTATGAACCCTCTCCAACTAACAGTTGTTATCAAGATCTTCCTTGGAATGAACAGTCAGTTCAAAAACTCTGAGCAGGAGACTATAAATAAAACAAAGTTATTTGGTGGAGGGCAAAAGTTGGCAGCTTTTCAAAGGAAGTTGTAGCCATCCTGGCCACAAAAATGTCTGGGTGCCTGCTGGGTGGCTGTGTGTGTGTGTGTGTGTGTGTGTGTGTGTGTGTGTGTGTGTGTGTGTGTGTGTGTGTGTGTGTGTGTGTGTGTGTGTGTGTGTGTGTTGAATGAGGAAGCAAAGGGTGGGGTTTCTGTGTCTGCCCAGGTGGTCCCAAGACTGCACGGTGGTCTGGAGAGAACATAGACTGGGAGTTAGAAGTCTGGCCTCAAATGCTGGCAACAGCACTGACTAGTAGATTGGTGTTAAGCAAATGACTAGACAATTGTCTGTTTCCTTTTTCTCTTCTGTAATATGGTATAGAGTATGACCAGGAACTCAAATGCTAAAGATGAATATGTAGAGGCTGCCTAAATTCAAATTTCACTCTGTTTCTATGTAAAAGACCTTAGACAAGTTATTCCATTTCTCATTGTCTCAAGTTCTTTGTGAAATGAAAATGATGATATTAAAAGGCCTATTTTATTGAATTGGCATGAGAATTAAATGAGTTAATGAAATTTACTAAGTATGTAGTGGCTAGCATATACAACACACATAGTACCATTTAACACTATATTGTTAATATGTTTGTTTTCAGTGATAAGAATCAAACCCAGAGCCTCATCCTTGCAAGTACTGTACCACTGAGTTTTACTACATGGGCAATAACAATAAGCATAATAACTAGTTCTGTGCTTAGATTCAGGAACCATAAGTTACCAACACAACTTTATGGTTTACATTCTAACCATAGCAGTTAAAATTCAACTGTAAATGATAGAAGACAAATAGTACTAGTTGAAAAGAGAAAAGTTCATTTTTCCTTCACATAAGATGTAGAAATATGGTGGGTCCTGGAGGCTCATACCTGTAAACCTTGATTCTCAGGAAGCTGAAATATGGAGGATCTCCAAAGTTGGCCTGAACAGAAAAGTCTGATGAGACTTCAACACAACCAGCAAAGAGCTGGGTTGTTGATGTGGCTCAAGTGATAGAGTATCAGTCTAGCAATGTGAGGTCCTGAAGTTCAAGCCCCTTTTCCAGCCACAAAAAAAGGGGGAGGGGTAGAGATGAACATTTCAGAGCTGATATGACAACTCCATTATCAGAAAACTAGAATTCTCATTGCTCTCTTACTCAACAAATGCAGTTTCCACTTCATGATCCCAAATGGCTACTTGAACTCTAGCTTTCTAATCTGCAACCCAGGCAGCAGGAAGGAAGAAAGATATGTCCACCCCAAACTCTGACCTTAGTGTACTTCCCACAAGTTGTTCATACCATTTCCATGTCTGGTCAACTGGCTAGAACTTAGTCATGCAACCTCATCTCACTAGGAAATCTGGCCTTTATTCCAGACAATCATGTGCACAGCTGAAAGCAGGAGCTGGTATTTCCAGGAAACAAGGGGAGGACAGATATTGCAAGATGGCCAACATTCTCAGCCAAGCTTGGGTCTAACCTTGGGCAGGGCTCTGCATTTCTTTGGGTTTCAGTGTCTTTTAACCAAAGTCAGATCAAGTAACCTCTCTCCCAATTTACTTTCAGTTCTAAAATTCTATAATTTACTGGTTTATTGGTCTATAATGTCTTTAAACCTAGTTGAATCTAATGTCATTCAAATAAAATGAGACCTCTCTGCCAAACCCATCAACTGTTGGAACTAAAAACCTTCGGGTGAGGGAAGGGGTTTGCCTACTCCACTGTTGTCAAAATAGACTAAGCAGATGGAGCAGATAAAAAAGTCAGACAGAGAGTGTGATACCACCTGCACTGATGCCATGATGCTCCTCAACTTCCTAGCTTGCTCCACACCACTGCTTAACATTTAGGTGGTTGGGGGTGGGGGGGAATTGGGAAGGGATGGGAAGGGGAAACAAAGGAGGAGGCAACAATGCTTGATAAGAAATGTATTCATGGGCTGGGAAGGTGGCTCTGTGGTAGAGCACTTGCCTTGTATGCTCGAGGCCCTGGGTTCGATTCCTCAGCACCACATAAGCAAAAATAAAAAAGCCGGAAGTGGCGCTGTGGCTCAAGTGGTAGAGTGCTAGCCTTGAGCTGAAGAGCTGAGGGACAGCGCCCAGGCCCAGAGTTCAGGCCCCACAACCGGACCCCCCCAAAAAAAAAAAAGAAATGTATTCATTACCTTGCCCATGTAATTGTAATTCCTCTGTACTGTATTTTCACAATTAAAAAAAAATAAAAACATTTAGGTGGTTATGCTGATGAGTAAAGGACATCACCCCCCCCCCCCACACACACACACAAGTGCCCAAGTACCCTCTAATTATAGGTGGGTGGGCTAGGATTCTGGGATCTGCTGTCCCTAATACACTAAATGGTGATTGTATTGTATTGTGTTATATTGGGGGGGTGGGGGGTGGGGAAAGCTGGTGCTGGTACTGGTACTTCAACTCAGGGCCTGGGCACTGTCCCTTAGCTTTTTCCACTCAAGCCTGGTCTTTTCCACTTGAACCACCCCTCTGCTTCTGGCTTTTGGGTAATTCATTGTAGCTAAGCATCTCACAGATTTTCCTGCCTTCAAGTGGCTTCAAATAGAGATCCTCAGAGCTCAACCTTCTGAGCAACTAGAATTATGGGCATGAGCTGCCTTTGCTCAGATATGACTGTTTTGTTTTTTTTTAGCTACTTCATTCATTATGAAATGCATTCTTTTACCATTGTAGATCAGTGTTTTTATTAGTAGTCACATCACTACTACCTAATTCCAGAATACTTTTATCATTCCAGAAAAAAAAGGCCCAAACATTAACAATCACTCACCTCTTCTCCTTCCCCCCAGCTTTAGAAATTATGAATCTACTTCCTACCTCTTTGAATGTATCTATTTTCTTTTCTTTTTTCTTTTTTGTCAGTCATGGGGCTTGAACTCTGGGCCTGAGCTCTGTCCCTCAGCTCTTCAGCTCAAGGTGAGTACTCTACCACTTGAGCTACAGCGCCACTTCCGGTTTTCTAGTGGTTTATTGGAGCTAAGAGTTTCACGGACTTTCCTGCCAAGGCTGGCTTTGAACCTCGATCCTCAGATCTCAACCTCCTGAGTAGCTAGGATTACAGGAGTAAGCCACCAGTGCCCGGCTATTCCAGAGATTTCTTATGGTCATGTAATATGTGGCTGTTTCCTCTGACTTCTTTCACTTTAGCATAAGATCTATCCATGGTGGAGCACATATGAGAACTTCTTTGTTACCACATGATATTCTTGTAGGTGGCTTATATGACATTTTGTTTATCCACATATTGTGGATGGACCTTTATTGTTTTCTCTTT